GAAAATTAGAACTCACTAGTGCAAAAATTAATGATGTCAAAAGAAATACTTCTAGAAAAACAAGTTTTATTAACAGTAGCAAGTTGAACTCTATTATATGCACATTCACAACATTTAAAAAATTGTTTACCATTGTACTAATGGAACACATTTGATCAAAAGAAGTCTTGGAACTATTATTTATCCATAGGCATTCTTTGTATGTTTTTTGGAAAGAAAGAAGTGAGTAACTGGCCAAACTCTCTCATGCTAGTGCAAGTTTGTAATGTTGGCAACGAAAGGAAGATGGTCAGTGTGGCAGGATAGGAGGGGAGGAGCATGTTAGCTTGGTCAGGGAAGCGAGTATGAGACAAGTCCTATGTGGGAGAGAAAGGGAGTAAACCCTGATTTGGAAACACTTTGCTTTTACTTTGGCAGCACTTTTAGAAAAGAAACTCCTTTACCAGTTAAGAATTAGAATGGGGAAACAGTTAAACTGACTAAATTACTTTTCCCCTTTTCAGTCTCTAAAATCAGTAACACTAGAAGGAAGAGGCATGTGAGAAGAATATCTTTGAGCCTTGCAGTATGAATAAATTGTATCTTGATAACAGTAGCAGGGGTAACGTTGCTGCCGTAAAGTTCTTTTACTAGGTTGGCCACACAATATATTCTGCTAGGCTGTCCACGGTATTTTTGGGGATGATCAGCTTGTTTTGTTCATAGTTAACAATGCATTAGTAGCAACAGAGATCTGACATTTATTATACAGGATTTTATTGCAACTCTTCAAACAGATATTTTTCTGCAGATGTATGCTGAGTTGTCTCTCACAGACTCATTCAAGAAAATCTGATTAGTATTTCTAGACAGTACATTTTCTTTTTTGTAGGTTCTTAAGACTTGAGATTATGGGTGTACACTGAGGAGGATTAAGTCATTTATGGCACTCAGTTGTTTAAACGGGAAAACCTGTTATAGTTCGGTGTAGTTACATGTACTCAATTACTCAGTGGTACACTCTTTTCTTTGCCTGGATTCAATAATGTATGTGGAAGAACTGCTTGCTTTCAGGAGTAAAGGGCACCAGTTAAGGATTTTTTATCAGCTAAGATATCTTATTTGAATGATGACCATTGTTAATACCCATATTTGCTAGGATATTGTAGTTGAATCTGTTACCAGAACAAGTGAAAGGCTGGTGTTTAATGCAGCAGTAAGAGAAAGCTAAGAGTTACCCCTAAAATACATAGAGTCTTAATTACTATGGAAGGAGACAGAAAAGCCTATATAAATCAGCTTTGTGGCATAATTATAGTTACTTCTACTGTCTTGTAGAGAGTTTTACCATGATAGGTGCTCAAGCTTGAGTATGAGTTTACTGTGGCGATATGGTAATCGAAAGATTTTGTGTTAGAGAACGCACCGTTTGCAGAATCGGGAAGAGACCTTGCAGTTCTATAATTTTCAACCCCGTGATCATTACAAAACTTCAATTACTGATTTAGTGATGCTTTTATGGTTTTATAAAGGCTATCAGTGCCCTCACATGCTTAATGCTTTGGAGGTAAAACTTTACCATTAGTAAACGCACTGCATGTTTACCATGTTCCTGAGACAGGCTGATTCTCCTTTGGATGTGGTGGGAGGAATGCTTAAGAGAAAAAAGAAAAAGTGGTCATATGTGCAACAACTGAAGGAAATTTATCTTGCAGTGTAGCTCCCAAAAGTCGTCATTCGAACTGTGCCGTAGTAAACTGTACTATGCAGATAATCATTGGAAAGAAGGTTAATGCACCTGTTTGTTACCCAGCTCAAATGGATGTAGTAGATAGACTCTTACATGTAGCACCAAAATAGTATTAAATTAACATTTCATTACACTCAAACAGCTTACCATATGTCTGGAATATATCACTCTTACCTGATCCTGAATAGAGTGGACATTTTGTAAAGACATTATTGTGTTTGACTTTGTGTGTTCCTAATTAAAAATAGTTATTTTAAAAATCTAAGGTCTGTAAATTTAGCTCATTAATCTTGTTTTATTTTTAATTTTTGTTATTTGTTGTTTTATTGTGACTTTAAAAATGTGACAGATGACAGCAGTCTTAGATTTATCATTATTTATTGCTTAGATAGTTTAAATCATTATTATGTTTCCTTATTATTCTAATATTCACAGCTGTAAAAACTTGAGGATGTCTACGTTGTTATTCACTGAAAATGTCTGACAGAAAGATAGAGCTGGATAGGACCTTCTAAACATTGAATCAGGTCTTCCATGTTATTTGTAATAAATATTTAACCCAGAAGGGTCCAGAGAGCAGCTGCTGTCATTGTCCCTAGACATAACCAGCTACAAAACTTTCCCCTACATCCTGTAGCAAACTTAAGATCTATGATAGAACAGTTTCAAAAATCACAACTGCAATGTGTCAAAGCAAGAGAGGAGAGAGCAAGGACGTGAGCGCATAGACAGCTGTAGTACTACCGTTCCATGATATTAAAACATACACTGAAATTAAGATGTAGACTGTTATATACTGTATAAAGAAAGGCAAAAGGTTTGCTGCTCTGGGGAAAATGCCTTCCTGATCCTGTGTTAGATAATTACTATAATCTTACTGCATGCAAGCAAGTGACAAACAAGACTCCTCGGAGGTTTTATTACTGTGGTATCAGCATCCCTCCCTAAATTTTTCTTATTGGTTATTAACAGAGTAACTTCATCACTTAAGGTTTTCTGCCTCCTACAAGTGGCAAACCATCTACTATGTGTAGTAAAAATGGCACCGTAACACAATGAAGGATTTTGTGTGTGCATGCGTGAGGGGGATATGTGAACAAGGCAATTCCCTAAATTCATGCCTGTATCCCCTGAACTTTTTAAAGTTTTCCTCAATTTCTTTAATTTGCACCTAATTTTAGATTGTGATGCTAATTATGGATTAGGATTATATTCTTTATTCATAACCCAGATCATGGATTAATAGAATTCAAGTAATTCATCCACTATATCTGCTGTACAGTTTAAAAAACTAAATACACTTGCTAAGATGTTTATCAGAGAAATATTTGGAAGGAACCAGTATACCTTAACATTTTTTAATGTCAGACGATACAGGCAATGCTTATATACGTTAAGTCTAACATGACAGTGCTATTTATTACCTGTTTTAAATTTTAGCTAAATCTTTCAGAATCAGCAAGTGTGTGAGTATTTATTACAGTTATGCTAACGTTATACTGTTTTCATTTTCACTCCCATAAAGGGAGTTGGAATTGGGATCTGCTGAACATAAATTGCAGCACAGCTTGATGTTTATTCATTCATAAATTCACTCATCTGTTGAGTCCAGCTCAAGCTGTGTTAAATAGATACAGAACTATAACAGTGGTTAGAATTATAGGTAGAATTGATTTAAAATTTCCTTCAGTCTAGTGGTTTAATTTTGTCTTTGATTCCAGTCTTATACTGGGGGAGGGGTAAACTGATGTTTTGTGTAATTTGAGCTTATCAGATGCATCTTCTACCTTGCAAGAAGAACCGTAAAAAGTCATTGGACTTGTGAAAGTTCATCTGAACTTTGAGCAGCAGCATCTCAGCTTCGTGCAGTGGGGGGCAAAGTTCACTGTAGGTCACCTTTTTAGCTTCCAGGTTCTAGGTTAGTTTTAGCAGATTAAAAGCAGTTTCAAGTTATGCTTGATGGTTCTTTTCATTGGTAGCCAAAATAGAAGCTAGGAGTGACTGTTTTATGTAGCGCTAAACCTGAACTCTGTGACAGGAGCCACAAAAGATGTTAAGTTTAAACACACACACACACATGTACAATAAATTTTTTATATATATATATATATATATTTCCTATATTTAGGCTTTGTTAGCTTCACAGAGTTGAAGCTGGCCACAGTATGGCTGATTATACCTCTTAGAAGGTAGAAGCATGTTACAATGGAACAAGTTGCATGTTACTTCACTTAAGGCAGGATCTTCACAAATTTTGAAAATCTTCTGATATTTGGCAAGTTTAATTGCAAAAGCAGAACCTGGTTTCAGGGCTATTGTGCACACTAGCCTATCAGGGCTTTCAGGACAATGTATATAAAAATCCCATTTTTATCTAGAAAAATGTGTTTTGCTAGACTATGCGTGTGTTTATAGTCTGTGTGCTTGCTAAGAACCAGCAGACTTCCTGTCCCTTACATGTGAAACATGCATTTTGAAATAGTTCTCAGAAATGTGATCAAATATCTTGTAGCACAACTAAAGTAAAGATATTGAAACACAGATGTTCTACCTCATAAAAGAAGTCATCTGTTTCATATATGGTGATTCAGAAAGGGTTCTGAGTCAAAGATTTTTCCAGTTCAATTTTCATCGTTTATAAAGAAGCATTAAAAAATGTTAAAATACACGTTTTTGTGATTTCAAGAGGAGAAATGGTTTGCTGTTTTTTGGCTGTGGGAAAGCTACAACTACATCAGAAATGTTGCTTTAATAAAAATAGTCTGCAGATTTTCTTTTTTATTATGGATCACCTCTAAGGGACACAGGTTCATTTCTGAACCTCAGATGAGTAACTTAGTCTAGTAAAGCTGTGTGAGATAGTTAAGTAGTAAAGAAAATTTTTGCTGACAGATTCATTCTTGTTCTTGAAATCTTGTACTGTTCCTTTTTCTGAAATGCTATATTGTAGTATGTCGTTTACCTTTACCGAAATCTAGAGAATGTACATTTTTATCTCCTTTTCTTACTTGAAAGAGCTTTAATTACAATTATACAGCAGCTGAAACTATTTTATAAGTGCTGATGCAAAATGGTTTAAACATTATCTTCGTTGCGAAATAATACTTAGTTGGAAATTAAAATACATTTTCAGTTTCCTTTTCTGTAGAGTTACAGAACGGCTGCTGGGTTTACTTCTGTGACTTCTTTTGCTGCAGTTACCATGATGTTGAGTGCACCGAGGAAGTATTCTCTTTAGCTGTGCTTAATACTATTTGTTGTTTTTCTGCAGAGAGCAGGGGACACAGTCAGTGGAGATACTGAAAGGTAATTTCTTTTGTCATTTCATATTTAAATAGGCACATTATATATGAATTACATTTAATTGTTTACTTCTAGAAATAAAGTTGCAAAATTTGAGGAATTAATTTTAAGGTTTTAGTGAGAAAAGCATTAATTTCACTTAGTAGATGTCATAGCTGTTCCACTTGCTGATTATATCAAATAGGAATATAGATTATTTACACAGAGAGGTTGAATTTTCTGCGTTAAAAATACTTCATATGTAATTTTTTAAAAGATTACTAGGAAAAAAACCTGACTGAGATACCACTAAGAAGTAACAGATCTGTCTCCCCTACCTTTTATTTTAACTTTTGAAATTTACTATTTCAGAATCACTCTGAGGATGAAAAGCCTGATGTATATGTCTAACACGATTTCTTTGGAAATAAAGAACAGGCAGATTATTTTTCAATTAACATACATACATGCTCATTCAGTATGTACAAAAGTTACTTTTTATGTTTGTGGCACAAACTTAATAAGTACTAGGAATGTAGAGTTCAGTTTGTCTCTTTCAGTTTATTCAAATAATTCTAATATACACAATAGTGATTTTGTCTATGCTGCCTTTGCCGTGTATCTGATGAAATATGTACTCTATAAAAGAGAATAAGAAATTTTCAAATAACAGGTACCCAAGTATCATACAATGTCATAATTAAGGTTAATAGGAAATTGTTTATGTGGATAAATATGCTTTTTAAAATCTTTTCATTCTCTATATGACCTAAACCTATTTTAAGAAGCTAAGCCCTGCACTGGATATAAAATAATTAATTTTCCTGGAATTATGTTTAGAGTGTTTTCACCAATCTAAAGGATTTACAATCAATGATGATTTTCCTCACATGGTATAAATTTCACTATGTTGCAGCTAGAATTCTGAGGTACTGCGATATTATGGTCAGATATCACCTCTAATGACAAGTCACCTAAAGCCTAATTTTTCAGGATTGTCAACGTTTTAATGTATGTATATATGTTAAAAGAAACATTGTAATTGTTCTCAAAGGCATTTGTCAGTGCTAAGAACTTACTGATGCTGCCTCAGTTGTTATATGCTGTACATGTATAAAATAGCATTCAACTGAATTCAGTAGCCCTGTTATCACAGAGGAAAATGAGCTGAAGATGAGGTTAGAAAGAATTTTTCTAGGGTGAAATTCTACTTTCTCAAATAAAAGACCGTCCTTTCTCTTCATTGCTTTGCTTTCATTGTAGTAGTTGCCTCATCAACTAAATACAGATTCTTATTTTTGCAATAAATAACTATAGTCCTACTCAGTATTTACTCCCGATTCATACTGAAAGCAGCACTCATCTTGTATGTGACAGGGGTTATATGGAGAAAAAAAGTGTGTCTTTCTCAACTGTTTTTTAAGTAACTAAGCCCCTTACTAGATTTTATCTTTTACCCTTACCTCTTACGTTGTAGTTTTCAAAACTTGTTTTCTATAAATCTTACCTACTTACTGTTTTGACTTAGTCTCCTCTTTCAGCATTGTCGTGCTAGATGCTGTTGTCCTGTGTTTTTTCCTCGCACTTGCTTCTTTTTATTTTTTTGTCACCCCCTTTTCTCATCCTTCGTTCCAGTATGGCTGCTCCCTTCTCTAGTCCTTCCTAACTGGCTCTCAGCAAAAGAAAGAAATCAGAGAGCCAAACAAAATGTCCTCTACTTCTCACCCCTTTTTTTGTCATCCTTCTCCACGCCCCAAGTTTTTTGTAGACTTAATTATTCTGAGAGGATTGCACATGCTCAGTTTGGCAGGGATTTACAATCTGAATGAAACATCCTTGGCGGACATGACACAAGTTTCTGCTGAACATGTGCCAGGAGATCTTTTTGAGGGACATAGAACTTGATGACATTTTGGCAAATGTTCTTGGGTCTAGCAAAAGTATAGTCTTATATAGAATTACTCTGTCTTCCTCTCGTAACCCTTCTCCCACACATTTTAAATTTCAGCTTCAAAACACAATGGTATTACGTCTTTTGAAAATGTTAGGAAAATATTTTAGCAGAGGCAGAATAATACCTTCTTTGCTCCTAATCTCATTCTTTTAAGTGGCTGAACAGTTTAAAAATAAAAATATTTGAGCTTAAAATCAGCTGAAATGTGCACTGTTAGGAGATTTTATCCCTAAGAGTTGCATTTTGGAGAGATGGAGACAAACTGTGTGGGTAGATTCACATATTTGGATGAAATTGCATTGACTTCATTAGTTAATGAAGTTGTGAGTACATGAAATAGTGAGTACAGTGGCCTAAGCAGTTTCCTCGATATGATTGCATCCTTTGTTTAAAAAAAGAGAGAGAGAAGCCAAAAAACAGAAGAAAAAATGCTTCTTGCATATACAAGAATATTCCACATGCTGCAGAGAATATATAATAAAAACTCTAGCAGCTATATGAGAAGTATGAGATTACAGAATGTTACTCTATCTAGCTTTTTAAACACTTCAAATGAGTAGAATGTAAAACAAGTGTAGTAACTTTTTCATGCTCAAGCATAAGAAAAACTGTGTATTTTTAATTTAAAGTTCCTTATTCTCTTCTAAACACTTTTGGTACATCTACATTGCATTTCACTGCCTGTGCTGAGCACCCACACCCCTCACTTCAAAGATTTACACATTAAACTCTGTACTCCTATCTGACCAATGCAGAAAGTTTGAGCCCTGTTATTAAGTAATATTGTGGGTATATATGTATATATACATTGTGTGTGTGTGTGTACACACGCATGCATATTAGTAGTGATAGAAAAATAGGGCAGCCATAAGAAAACTTAGACTCTTCACTTCTGAGCAGGTGGCATGATTTAGGAAATTACCCTTTGTCACTGGAGGTACAATCACCAATTGTGTGGTTGGTGGTAGGAAAACAGGCTAAATTAAATGCTTCCTCAAAAAGCAGCTAATTTGTTTTCCTTTTAACTGGAAGCTGTGCACCCTATTTGTTATTGTTTCTCAATTGAGAAAGTGGCAGTGGGCATCTGATATGCAGCTGTCCCCTGAACTGCTGCAGCTATTTTGCAAACAAACATCTGACTATATGTTCAGCACTGTTCATTGTGTTCTTTAAACTTCATTTTACTTTAAGAGAAAAAATTTTCTAGTGACAGAAAGCCTTGACATCTGTGGATTCTAGACGTGCGTGAATAATGCAACTGTGACATCATTAGAGAGACCTTGGGTCTTAAGATCTTACTCTGCTTAGCTAACCACGTAAGCCTGCAAGGGACAGAGAAGGCATAAAAGAATTACATCACTCAAGCATTGTATAGCTGCTTGTTGAATAAATAGTTATTATGATCTTAACTTTATGACTATTTGCAGAGTTTCCATGTGAAAGTAATCTCAGACCTTTTCATAACACGTCATTGTAAATATTAATAGTTTAAGATGGTTTTAATCATATCTTCAATGGCAGTGACATGCTTTGGAAAGGATTTCTTTATTTGTAGTTAATGCTGGAGAGGTAAGAACAGACAAATATTTAAAAGATAACTTTTTACCTTGACGTTATTTTGTCAGCTTTGCACATACGAATATACTTGTATTGCAGTTAGTGCTGAATAGTGCAGATATATCTGAGCTAGCTCAAATATTGGCTGATACTTGAGGTATCAAGTAATAGCCTGTAGTGTAGTTCTGAGCCAGTATCTGAGTCAGCATAGAATTGAGAAGGGATTTCAAATCTCTCTAGAAAGTACTCAGGTAATTGGTTTGCAGTAAGCATTCACTTGTGGTGGGAATATACGTAATCTACGGAGGTTATAATAGTCAACTTAAACATGAATCCAAGCAAGCTGGTTGCAAAACAGCTCCGTTGTATCATTACTACATTTTGGTGGCCAGGTAAATGTATCCAAAATTCTATGGGTGGTACTGGTTTTGTTTTGTGTACTTTTGAACCAGCAATAAGTAACTTTCACATAAGGTACAATATTTGCTCCAGTTTTGCTTCAGTACTTTAGGACAAGAAACACAGTCAGCGATAGATACATTAAAGCAGGAGGAGGACAATTGGTTTCAGGTCTTCTAGGCAGCACGTAATTGCTTAATGTCAAGAGGTGGAAAACTTGGAACATGGCTGAAGTGAGGGTTTGAATGGAAAAGTTAACACTTCTGAATCCTGTCAAATTTCTGAGGAGTTTTGAACAGTGAAGGGCATGCTTGTGGTTGATGAAAGAAACAAATTTGATATAAAATCAAAAAACGTATTTTCTTGTGTGCTGTCAGTGCTATATCTGAAGAGAGAAACAAGGAAAAACAGAAAAATATTTAATGACCATTTTTACCAAAGTTAATTTATGATGTCCTTGAACTTGAGCTGCAACCAGATCGCACTTGATGTAATTCAGAATGTGAGACATAAAGGTTGAAGAGAGTTTTGCATGCCCCTTAGATTTCAAACTTTGTATCTTCCAAGTGTCTACTGAGTAGAAAAGAGCAGGGTGACAGGTGTGCAATTTTATAGTTATTTATAATTGCTGCCGATTGATAGAGTTGTTAATCAAGTTCTGTGTATTTTGGATCCCCAGCTACTTCTAGATATCCAGGTGGCAGCAGGGACTAACGATATTTTCAACTGCAGGCTTCACTGTGGTCTGTAATTTGGAAGCTGCTGGTTAAACATTATCTCTTCAATCAGCTGGGCAGTATACTTGAGATCCTGCACTTACGGAGCCTTAGGAAACAGGAGTCATCCTACAGAGGACAAGCCACAAAATCTCTCAAAACTATCTGTATATGGACTGCACATAAACTGGAACAGTCTGGATAGATCACCGGTCAGAAAGGGCAGAGGGCTGTTTTACAAAGGGAACACACAGCGCACTACCCAGCAGTTTATACTTAGTATCTGTTCAGGAGGAAGTTCTGGCAAGTAAAAAAAAAAAAATCTTTTTTTATTTTTTTTTAAACTACTGGAAACTTTTATAGATTAAAAAAAAAATTCTTGCAAATAAGAACAATCA